GGAAGAGGATGAGGAAGGTTTAAAGTATCTTTTCTAATCATAATATAATAGAAGAAATCATTGACAGAAGGATTTGCGGAAAACACAAAAACATGGAAATTGTACAACATTCTCTTGATAAAAAAAGGAAATCAAAGGGGAGATTTACAAAAATGAAATGGGAATGGATATGCACATGCCAATGCATGGGGCATAACGCACCAGACAGTCTAAGAGAGAAGTGTAGAACAATAAAACTTTCTAGTAAAATGGACAAGTCAGGGGCAGATAAATTGGCTCAGCAAAGACTGATACCTGAGGTTGTCCCGTCCCGCGGGATCTGCAACGGGGTACCTGGATTGGGGAGTGGGGACGTGGATGAGGCAAGCGACAAGAGAAATGGAGACAAGACAGGGCTCTGATCAAGTCTCGTTTATTGCAGCACAAGCATGGGGTTAAATAGAGAATGAGAACAAAGGAGTAAAGACTAGAAGTAATCATATCAGTAGGACAGCAGGGACCCAGATGTACTGAAAACAAGGCTGCGGGCCAAGGCCGCAGCCTCCATCCGGTGCCTGCGGGAGGAGAGTGGGCAGAATGGAAAGTTACCAACTCGGGTCTGTCAGCAGTTTTGAGAAATGGCTGAGCCTCAGGCTCCAAAGATGAGGTGAGTCTGATACCTGGGACCATGTGATAGGAGGAGAGAATCAACTGCTACACATTGTCCTCTGAGTGCTACAGTGTGCCTTGGCACACATGTACCCACAAACATGTATTCACTACATAATAAACAAATAATGTAACATAAAAATGTTAAATAGACAAACTTTTTTTTTTGGCTTTTTGAGAAAGGGTCTCCCTCTAGCTCCAGCTGGCTTGGAACTCCAAGCTGGCCTTAATCTCACAGAGATCCACCTGCCTTTACCTCCCATGTGCTGGGATTAAAGGAGTATGCCACTACAACCAGCTGGCTTTTTAAAATTGTTTTAAAAAGATTTGTTTTTGTGTGTGTGTTTATGTGTAAGTATGTATGCATGAATGCAGGCACACACACAGGCCAGAGGTGGAAAATCCCCTAGAGCTGGAGTTGTAGGTTATTGTGAGTCAACCAGTGAGGGTGCTGGGAACCTTACTTGGGTCTTCTTCAAGAGCAGTAGGCATTATTAACCACTGAGTCATCCCTCCAGCCCCAATTTTTAATTACTTTGACTCCTTTCTTTTTGATACTTTTTTTTTAGCTTTCAATTTCATCCTACTTTGTATTTGGTGAAGTGGATTGTATCAACAAGAAATTTATCTATACCAGAGAGACAGCAGTTAAGAGTATTTGCAGCTTTTGCAGAGGACACAGATTCAGGTCCCAGCACCCATATGTCAACTCACAACTATCTGTAACTTCGATTCCAGGGGATCCAACACACTCTTCTGGCTCTGTGAGCACTAGGGCTAGGTGAAGCTACAGGGAGACCCTGTCTCAAAAAACAAAATTAAATAATTAAAAAAACCTTCCAATACAGAATCTACCAAACATTTAAATTATAGTATCAATCTTTCTTAGACTCTTCCAAAAATATTACTAGTACAATTATTTCAAAGCACAGTTTACTAGTCCATGTCAAAGCCCGTCACTGACTTAGGACCTGGATGGAGAACAGGGAGATGATGCTCTGGTGAAAATTCCCAAAATCAACTTTGACACTTCAGGAAAGTTTGGTGAATGCCTTCCTAGAGCCTCGGTTATCGATTACCGTGAGTTAAGCTGTAATTCCCTGTTCTAACTCCCTTCTCCCAGAAATCTTAAGATCTATCATGCCAACTTTGGATCATTAAAGTAACCAAATAACTCATTTTATTTATTAAGAGGTAGCAAGAGGCTGGAGCAGTGATGTGCCCTTGAAGGCCTGGTTGCTTGGGAAGCTGACTCGGGTGTTGGGGACCAGCCTGGGCAACACAAGAGTATCAAGCTTCAAAGAAATGTTAGAAAAGCTGTCACTTGTGGGAGTATTTTGCCATGCTGTCACTGTCTATTTATTGTCCCCTGGGGATTCAACCCAGGGCTTGGAAAGTCACCTGAAGGGAGACCTACATTAACCCTGCAACTATAAAGCAATCCTTGCTTTGCAAACAAGCTGGTCTGGAATCCCCATAAACCTCAACCATAAGGTTCTGAAAAGGAGCCCTCCAGAGACCCTTCCTTAACTATCTGAAAAGAATGCAGGAAAAGAATGCAGGCTTAGAAAATCCCCAGAGTACTTAAGTTCTCCTGTAGGTTGACCTTTGCGCTATTGCAGCTTTTGGCTGATCTGCAGTCACCCTTCACGGGCTGATAAAGGTGGAAATGGATTCTATGAGGTTGCTTTTTTACTTTCCTACCTGAGTCTCTCGACTTCTAATCCTAACATTTCCCCAAGAGAGTTAAAACTCCTAATTTCCTAATATCACCTACGAGTTTTCTGACATATA